TACTACTACTACTGCTACTACTGCTACTACTACTACTACTACTACTTTTACTACTAGTACTGCTAGTACTACTACTACTACTACTACTACTACCACTACCACTACGACTACCACGACTACTACGACTACTACGACTACTACGACTACTACTACTACTACTTCTACTACTACTACTACTACTAGTACGAGTACGACTACTACTACTACTACTTCTACTACTACTACTACTACTACTACTACTCGTACTACTTTTACTACTAGTACTGCTAGTACTACTACTACTACTACTACTACTACTACCTACTTTCGAGACCAGAACCATGCCAATAATTGACATGGCCGCGCGGATTCCGCGCGCGCGGAATCCGCGCAGATGTTTTCAGGTCAGAAGGACATTCAAGCTAGCTCCAATTGAAAACAGGTCAGAAACAGGTCAGAAACAGGTCAGAAACACCAAAAAGGCAGCACTTGCCTAGCATCCATCCATCCATCCATCGATCCATCCATCCATCCACCTCAGCTCTTATCATTGCTACTAATACTACTACTACTACTCCTGCTACTACTACTACTGCTACTACTACTGCTACTACTGCTACTACTACTACTACTACTCCTACTCCTACTCCTACTTCTACTCGTACTCCTACTCCTACTCCTACTCCAAACGCAACCTCTCTCTCTTTCTCCCTTGCCTATTCCCTCACCCTCCTACCAGAACTCCTACGCCTACTCCTATTCCAATCTCCACTACTGCTAGTGCTACTGCTACTGCTAGTGCACTGTGAGTTTTCCGGACCGTTTCCGGACCGCACAAGCTTATTTTGCTCCCAAATTTGAAATCGAATGCGTTCACGCATGGATCCTTACTCTCATTACTAGATTTGCTACTACCCCCAGCACTACCACCACACCCGCTGCTACTGCACCACCCTGCACCACCACTACCACCACTACCACTAGTACACCTAGGAATTTCTGCTCTTGCTTTTAAATCCAATTGCACTCGTGTGAAGGGTCAGAAACGAGTCAGAAACCAGTCAGAAACCAGTCAGAAACCCGTCAGAAACCGGCCAAACGCAATCTCTCTCTCTCTCTCTCTCCCTTGCCTGTTCCCTCACCCTCGCATCAGAACTCCTACGCCTACTCCTATTGCAATTTCCACTACCACTACTGCTAGTGCTACTGCTACTGCTAGTCCTGCTGGTACTACTGTGAGTTTTCCGGACCGTTTCCGGACCGCGCAAGCTTATTTTTGCTTCCAAATTTGAAATCGAATGCGTTCACGCATGGATCCTTACTCCCACTACTAGATTTGCTACTACTCTTAGTACTACCACCACACCCGCTGCTACTGCCCCACCACTACCACTAGTACACCTAGGAATTTCTGCTCTTGCTTTTAAATCCAATTGACACGAGTTCCGCTGAAGGGTCAGAAACGAGTCAGAAACCAGTCAGAAACCAGTCAGAAACCCGTCAGAAACCGGTCAAACGCAACCATCTGTTTCCCCCCCCCTCCCTCTCTCTCTCTCTTTCTCTCTTTCCCTCCCTCTCCCTTTCTTCCCTTGCCCTGCTACTAGAACTCCTTCTCCTATTCCTACTCCTACTCCTACTCTTACCCCTCCTACTACTACTACTATTACTACTACTACTACTACTACTACTACGACTACGACTACGACTACTAGTACTACTAGTACTACTAGTACTACTAGTACTACTGCTGCTGGTACTACTGTGAGTTTTCCGGACCGTTTCCGGACCGCGCGAGCTTAGTTTGTTCCCAAATTTGAAATCGAATGCGTTCACGCATGGATCCTCATTATATAATACATAACTTATATTTTATGTATATGATCTGATCAACGAAGAACAAACCCTTCCGCGATTGCTCACTGTGGTACCGCGGTTGCTACGCGATTGGCTGAGCGATTGAGGGCTGTCCGGGAAAAGGTATTTTGGACAACCCCCACATATTTATACATATTTATACATATTTATACATATTTATATACATATTTATACATATTTATACATATTTATACATATTTCCTACAAAAATCCTAGATCTTTCGCAGAAGCTCTGTGAATTCCAAAGCGGTTCCGGGTTCCGGTCACCCCGGGACCTCCCAGGTCTCTGCATGCATGGCCTGCAAGGAGCGGAGTGGCTTTGGAAGATGCTGTAATTACTCTCTGGTTATTTAACAGTTCGCCATGGAAAATGGCCCATAGAAATAGATGGTTTACCTATTAAAAATTGTGATTTTCCATGGCTATGTTAAATAACCAGATGGTAATTTTCGTGAATTTTCTTGAAATATGGAAATATTAGATGAACCACATATATGAACCACAATATAATTTTTAATAGACCAGATTTTATGATGAGATTTTATAAAATATTGGCTAATTCTCCATGGTCTATGTCAACCACATATAACATCCTACAAAAAATCCCACACAATTGGTTAGTCTTTTTGGTTATCCCGATTGGTTGTACCCATAGAAGAGTTGGGGGACCCCATGATGCCAAGGTTGCAGGTCCACTCATGGCCGTTATGTTTCGACCAGACACGACCAGACCATTGTAAAATATCCATGATGTCATTTCAGGATACTTAGACTTAGACCCTCCAAGTACCCGTGCAAATTGTTGAACATCCCAAGTCATAACAAGAAAATCCCGCAATTTTTCTGGGTACTTGGAGGGTCTAGGTAAGTAAGATCGGGCAATATCCGAAACTGATGTCACATGTCATGTCAGGATAGGGACTTAGCATTGAGATCAGTGAATTCAGAACCAATCCCAAAACGAAATCTATCATTTTGACCTGAACACTTTCTACAATCGAAAACCATTTTTATTACCCTCTGGTTATTTAACAGTTCACCATGGAAAATGACCCATTTATAGATGGTTTACCTATTAAGAATGGTGATTCTCCATGGCTATGTTAAATAACCAGATGGTAATCCATTTAGGCAACATGTGTTGAAACGATCTTTATTTCAGGCTAAGATCGGTTCCATTCTGTCGTCATCCCGTCGTCACTGGTAGGACTGGGGGCCCAAGCAGGTGGCGCAAGGCCTGCGAGAGCGTTTCTACCGCGAGGTCACAGGTGGCCGTGGCAAAGCCATCCATGATTTATTTGTTCGTCGGTCAGTGGGGATGGGGATGGTTTACTGGTTGGTGGTTTGGAACATGGCTTTTATTTTCCATAATATATGGGATAATCCTTCCCATTGACTTTCATATTTTTCAGAGGGGTTGAAACCACCAACCAGTTTATGTTGTTTCTTTTTTGGGGTTGGGTGGTGGGTAGCAAAATCTGGAGAAACTTGGAACAAGGATCTTAAGCCCAACAGGGGGGCCTGTGGATAGCCCCAAATCTACCCAAAGAAGTAGAATACACGTCTTAAAAGGGGAACATCTTAGGAAGAGCCCCACACGGATGTGCATCCAAGGCATCGTAAGCGGTTCATGAACCCGATATAACCCCCGAAATGGAGCAATTTGAGCAGGCAGGTGATCTTTGTTTAGGATCATCAACCATCAATGGTGGTTGATATTCAAATTATTCAACGATGATCATGGGAATATCATATTATATAAATATAGTTGAGAAGAATGATAATTATGCTAACGCTTGGTATGTGTAAGTGCGAATATACTATAACATACAGAGTATCACAGAGTATAACTACATTTGATGTAATACAGCACATATATATTGTGTTATACATATTGTACAAAATGCATGTACATATGTATATCTATATATATATATATATATATTTGTCATATTCATATACAAGATCATTTCCCATGATATCAACATATATATTTATATATAACAACAGATAACAAAGGATATCATCTAATCATTGGATATATGACCAACAAATTCAGGGTGTTTGGATCTACGGTCGCCTCATGACCAGGCGCAGACTTCAGTGGATGTACCTGGCGTCACCTTTGCGACTTCATGTTGACCAGGTGGGGGCGCCCATGGCGGGGGGCAGCCCCTGGGTTTCGGAGTCCTCAAACGTGGCTGGGCTGGGAAGTTTCCCCTATACAAGGTGGGAAAATCATGGGAAAACTGGTTTATTTTTTCTGTAAATGGAGGTTTATAGCTGGGAAAGGCAACGAACTATGTGAATGGAGACAGAGAGAGAGAGAGAGAGAGCGAGAGAGAGAGAGAGATAGAGAGAGAGAGAGAGAAATGTGGGATTTTCCAGCAGGCCATGTTTGATGATGCCGGGAGGGTAGCAGGATGTAGCAGTCGGTAAATCATCAAAGTCAATGAGTTCTTTTTTTCCGGGCGGCTCTATATTTTGGGCTAAACACGATGGTTGACATTCCATGAAATTGGCATATAGGTGTTTCCACTAACCAATCTATTGACTAGTGGTGGTTTCAAGCTGCGCTGCAGATATTTTGTGGCTGGTTTCAAGCGTTCGCAGGCGGCTTCTACACTCGGCACGTGGCGCACAGGGGGAACGGCGAGCCCTTGTAGATCAGGGTTGTACCTGGGCGTGGAAAGGGCATGGGAAGTGTGGTGGGATGTCCCCTGAGGCTGTAGCTTACACAATACTTATGTAAGAAGACCACTATCCTGCATTTGTCCATTCTCGGATCTCACACACAAATATTTAGTAATGTTATATAGACAGCAAAGACTGTCACTCCATGATGCTCTATGTCACTAGTGTATTTGGCTGGTCTCATGAAATATGGCGCAGGCGAGAAAATCTTTATTTTTTTAGTTCGATGATATTCCCTGCTCTATAAACACGTTAAAGCCTCCATTAGATCCCATGAAAGCGTCAATCCATGGGCGGATGGTATTCCATTAAAACCTTCACTGGTTGGTGGTTTGGAACATTTTTCCATATATTGGGAATGTCATCATCCCAACTGACGAAGTCCATCATTTTTCAGAGGGCTAGGGCTCAACCACCAACCAGTTCATTGATAAACCATATTATTCAAGATCATTAATTAACCATATAATAATCATATATTAATCATATATCAACCATTATTGGCTCATGTTGATTTCCCAGTCAAACCTCTATGCATAGGATGTAGCGCCTCCAAGGTGGTCCCGTGGTGCACATTTGCCAGCCGTCTCCAGTATCTCGACCGAGCGAGCTCGCCATATCTTGCTGGCCAAAACCATGGTTTTGTCGCTCTGAGATCTTTTAATCATTTTTAATCCTTAAATAGACAAACTCTTGGTGTTGTTCCCTATAGTTCCATTTGAACATCTGGGTTTCTTAAAATCCAAATTCGTGTCACCCAGATGAGTCTGCTAAGTTGTGTTGTGTTCCTGGAGCCCATCCCATTGTCACCATGTTTGGTCCTTTCATGTCATTTATTTCGTTTACTGTGAATAAAACAATAAAACCAACCATGTGGGAATGGTTGATACAACCTATTTATGATATTTATGGTGATTTGGGGGGTTGGTGTATGGCATTGTTTTACCCACATTATTGAAAATAATGATTCAAACACCAGGTCTTGTGGTTTAAAGCGCCATTTTACCCCAACTAGTGTCACATTTGCCTGATGACTCATCCAATGACACTGCGAGTCCGAGTTTGACCACTGGATGTGCTCAGTGAATTAGTTTACCCCAGGGCATGGTGACCTAATCCCGATTTGGCCACGGCACCATTGACGAGTAAGGTGGTGCGCCCCAGTACCCACTGGAACCTCATCGAAACCATTTAGATATCGCCAATTTAGATATCATCAACCACAGAGTTCCCATATGTTCCCATGTTTTTGGTGGTTCAGTGGTTCAGTCCTCATTTATCGCGACCTGGGGCACTCTTTTTTTGAGGTCTTCCTGCTGTTTCTGGACGGTGCTGTTACCTTTGCACTGCTCCGCAGTGGAGAGGTGCGATGTCATCGTAGCAGCACCGGAGCCTGTGGCGGAAATGGGAGGTCTTTAAACTCACAAAGACTTCGTTCATGATATACTGCAACCACCCATGACAGCTGCATGTTTGGAATAGAAACGAGATGAAACGAGCATCATTTCACCAAAATCACAGTGGGATTTTTGCTACGAAAATGATCCCAATGATCCCAGTTGTTGCCGGTGTCTTTGGTTCTTTTTTGGATAGCTTCTTCCACTGTCCACGAAAACTATCTAATTTTACATATGGATCTTAAGGGCATAGGCATATTTACGTTTTTTTTTGGTTGGAATATGTAAATCCTAGGTCTGGCGTTGAACATGGGCCTAGTTACCCGCCTTGCTGGCTCATTGAATTTTGACGTAGCTGCGGCCTGCGGAATAGTTCTTTTGTTCCGTTATTTCATGCGACCTTTTGATTCATCAGATGGTCATGGGTTGCTGGTTGGTGGTTTGGAACATTTTTCATTTTTCCATATATTGGAAATAATCATCCCAACTGACTTTCATATTTTTCAGAGGGGTAGGTATACCACCAACCAGGTTGTTACTCCTTGTTGAAAGCCTTTTGTGTGGAATCCAACGATCTGATTTTTTGCATTCTCTTCGTTTCTTGGTTATACAGCAATCATTCGGGGTTCACTCGGAGTTGATCCCCCGAAAACGGCTTTTCTTGATGTTGGTTGCATGGCTTCCCCAGCTTTTTGTTGTAGGATCCGGGTCCGTCATTTTGCATTCCCATGGGCGCTTGGTGATGAGTGGCGCCGGTAGGTTGAGACTGGGAATGTCCTCCAATGTCCTCACTTTTGTTGACTTACGCAGCCCGTTGTTTGTTCGTGAATCTACCAATTTCTCCGGCTTTCAAAATAATCCAAGTTCAGGTGGTTGCAGTGGTTGCACTTGATAAGACTCTGTCTCACTTGGAACATATCACGCCAAGCCACAGAAATCCGCGTCGTTAAGGACAGATCTTGGGGCAGTCCACACGGCTGGGAAAAGGCCGACAACTGCAAGCTGCCGCCTTGCTGGGATGCGAGGCGAGGAAGTCGCTGTGGAAAACGGTAAAAACCTCTTGGTGGAACATCTCTTGGGGATATTAATGGAATATATTATATACATGCATAATATATATATATATAACATATATATATAATATATATATATTTATTTATGTATTGATTTATTCAAATCTAATCAACAATGAAGAGTAATGGTATTTTGATGGGACTTAAATGGACTCAATGAGGTGTATCATTAATAATCTAATCAACAACCTGATGTGCATCCCACTTACCAAGTGGATAATCACCCTGGCAAAAATGCCAGCTAGATTAATGCACATATTACCAGTTATATGGGCTATATATGTATATACATATATATATATATATATGTATATGTATATGGGTTATAAAATGTAAACATTTACATTCATTTGCCAATGTGATGCACCCCCAATTAGAGATGTTCTTTCCACTCAACCTCTTACATGTTTGGCGAGTTTTTCTATATTCGTGATTTATCGATGTGTTCTCTCTTGCTCTGTGATGCTTCAAGGCTGTTTGGATATGTTTGGATATGTTGTGCATGTTTGCCTGGAACACCAACCCCTTGAACATCCACTTCAATTCTTGCCTGTCTCAAAGTCCCATTGCTCGGGTATCCTCAGGCATTTTTGTTTGCGAACATCGCCACCGCTGCACTGGTTGGTTTTCATGTACCCTCTGGTAAAATAACTATGGAAAATCACCATTTATAGTGAATTTTCCCATGAAAAATCGTGATTTTCCATAGTTATGTTAGTTTACCAGAGGGTATCTTCCAAGAAAAGTGAGAAATTCCTCTGAATTTGAAACTGTTTGTCGTGTAAAGTCGTGTATATCCCATCCCGTTCAATCCGTACAGGACTCAAATCAACATTTTTGGGTTGCTATACATGGTGAAATCATAAACCATTATCATAAATCATCGTGCATCATCATGAATCATCATAAATCATCATCAATCCTTTCCGCCATAAATCCAAGACACTTGTACGTATGGACATTGTTGATAAACAAAAAACAATACTTTGCAAGTTTCGGCACGATCAAATTGGGATGAAATGATCCGTGTAACCATTTCACAACCGTTCATGACCATCGATAACCCTAAACCATTCAAAGTACCATGTTTTAATATATTGTTATCATTTATTTAGTTCTATCTATTAACCATTCTTAACCATGTCAGAACTGTTGATACAACATAAATATAACATATAACCATCGAGATAGCCATCATTAGGCCATCAAAATCATAGCAAATAACCATAATCAGGCCATCATTAACCATACAAATATAATATATTTATAAAGATAACATAAGCATTAGTATTTATCATGGCGTTTCATAATGTTAGGATATAACCATTAAGATTAAATATAAACATATTATACCAGTTTCATCATGTTTTATTAATCCCAACAGTGGCACAGGCCTTCGTTCTGGGAGATGACCAGGGTGGCCTGGTGCTCTTGCTGCGGGATGACCTAAGTGACACTTGAAATTGTGGGACGGTGGGAGCCCTTTTTCGGAAGCGTGAATTCAATGGGAGTTCGATGGCCAAACAAAAGAGGAAACATAACTGGTTGGTGGTTTGGAACATGGCTTTTATGACTTTCCATATATTGGGAATTTCATGATCCCACCTGACTTTCATATTTTTCAGAGGGGTTGAAACCACCAACCAGATAATTAAAAAACATATGGTGATTAACATTGATTAACCACCGTAAAAAAATGACCGTCAATGAACATAAAAAATTGGAAACTTCGAGAAGTAAGGTGATTTTTAGATGAAATGATTCACCAGATTTCACCATGAAAACGAGAGATTTAACCAGAAAACCTATATGTAGTTCCCCTGTTTTTTTTTTGGGATGAACCGTCACGGCTGCCAAGTGGGGAACAGATGTGCACCTCCCCAAGGTTGGTGCTGCTGATGTAATGTTCCTTTCCGAAATGGTTGTTTTCTGGATTTGGGGAATACTGCAGGTGCACCTATTCACCTATCTGCAAAACAACTTAAATGGAGATCAACTATCTGTACATACATGATACATACCAGCACATGTGTATTCTGTATACAGGATGGATTCACCAACATGTCGACCGCAGTGAAATGACCAACCTGGTGGTGGTGGTTGGGGTGGTTGCATCCTTCGTACATGTCATGGATGGCAGCCATTCCAAAGGGTGATTTTCCATTCCGTATCTTTAAACATCTGTAAAACATGTCTATCTTAGATGTGGCGAAACGGTGGTTTTCCACTTCTAGATTGCCAGGACCACTCACCCGATTGTTGGTCACCATATGTTAATTAACAGCAGGAAGTTTATGAATGACATCCCGTGACGGGCACCCCACGTTGCCACGTTTCACTTTTTTGTTGAAGGTTATCCATCAAACTCCCAATACTTGATGGCAAAAATCCAATTTTAGGATGGGTACCCTCTGGTGAACTAACATAGCAATGGAAAATGGCTATTTATAGTGGATTTTCCCATTAAGAATGGTAATTTTCCATTGCAAAATGTTAGTTCACCAGAGGGTAACCTCCAACATTCGCTATCCAGAAATCCGAATGTTTGATGGAGTAAACCTGGCAAACTATGGATGAGTTACCCGGCCTGGTCAACTGTCCCATAACTATGGAAAGATCCACCATTTTTTAATGGGAAATCATGGAAAATCAACGATAAATTGCAATTTTCAATAGCTATGTTAGTTTACCAGAGGGTACCCTGAGTTACCAACCCATGATCCACCAGCGGTGTCGAGGAGAGCCAGCAGCTGCGCAGTCAAGGGCCGCCGGGCGGCGTCGCGTCGATGGCAGCGTTGCAGGAAAACCAACAGGCGCAACTGTGGTGAGACAGTGAACATATTACTATAGATTAATATACAAATACCCCGGATTAATATACTAAATATGAGTATCAACCCCGATTAATTAATGTACTAAACGTGATTACTAATAGTATGCATATATATTATATATAATATACTATCTCACGCCAATATCAACCCCGGCTATCACATTATTAAATCTAAATAGTGAAAAAAACAATCTGATATACTATTGACTCAAAACATAGTGATAATCTGATTCATACTTCAATGGTACTCCCCCAATTGAATGGCCTAGGGGTTTATGAATCCAGGGTTGACATTACATGATATAATGATTATTAGTGAGCATGTGACAGTCATATATCTTTGGTGATGGGGATATTACCCATTATATATGATATATCCAGGGGCTATATGCTATGAAAAAAATGTCTTAAAGCTAAATAATCTATTAATGGAAAATTTCCACAGCTGTGTTACTTACAATGCAGTACCGGAGGGGACAGTCTGCCTCGTGATGGTGATGGTGACGGTAATTACCCTCTGGTAAATTAACATAGACCCTGAACATAGCCTAGTTTTAATGGAAACTAATCTTCCAACCCCTATCTGCCAGGGTCTATGTTAATTTACCAGAGGGTAATGATTATTAATAATAAGGATATGAATGAGGGAAATATGTTTTGTGAAAGTTGATATGTTTCTGCATACATGATGTTGCGACTTATGGTGTCATGTCACCGGAATGATGGGATTTAAATTGGGTAACTCTTCCGAATTGCTTTTATTCAGGTTGTAAATCATGATAAGAGACATTTGTATGTGTATACATAATATATATATATATATATTATATTATATTTGTGTGTTTTTAATGGAGATAAATTCAACTACGGTAACATAATGGGATTTAATACAATGGATGATAATGGATGTAGAAGCGACAACAGTGGGATGCATGACCAAAAACAAGTACCACATCCCGGACACCTCCCCCACTGAACCTAGACCCATGGAGGGTTTGGCATAGAATGAAATGCTAATGCCAATAGTTCGTTCCCTATGCCAAATTGTTTTTTTAACCCTCCGGCAATCAAACCTTTGTACAATCCACCATTTATCATTTATAGATATTTTTCCGAGCTTTTTCAACCTCCATTAGGGGATTTCACAACCAGTCACGTTTTTTTCGGGCACCCTTTGGGGTACCCAATATTTTCTGATGGTGAACATATCCGACTCTTCGTTTTTGGGGCCGTGATGTGCCAAACAAGGTCTGTTTCGATTCCAACTTCATCGCAGAATCTTACCATCTGGTTATGACTAACAGTTTGACATGGAAAATCACCATGCTATTAATAGGTAAACCCTCTATTTCTATGGGCGATCTATACCATGGCGAACTGTTAGTCATAACCACAGGGTATTTAAAATCTTTTAGGAAACCCCCAACAATGATGGTTTCCAATAGGTTTTGCCTAGAACCAAGTTAAGATATGTATCGTGTCTTCTTTCCTTTTCGACTTGCCAACACTAGCCCGAGCTCATTGTTCATATCCCATTTCATATTCCCACTATATCACCATCAATCCCTGGTTTATACTCCCATTCTGTTTGGTTGCCCTGTGGTAATTTAACATAGCTATGGAAAATCACCATGAGTAAAGATTAAATCCTCCTTTTTTCATGGGACATGGCTTCCAGTCCGCAAATTGTTAAAACACCTGAGGGTAGTGCTATGAATATTCCACAAAATCCGTAAGTTCCATTAGTATCCCACTTCTTTTCCGGAGTCATATCCCAAATTCATATCCCATTAACACCCCCTTAATAAAACAACCCGGGCACCACGGGCGGCAAGGCTTGTGTGGCAGTGAACATGGACGGCAGCATCGAGTTGATCCAAGTGATTCAACATGAAGTTAAGCCTGCTTTCAATTTTCGTGGTGAGGGAGTTAAGTAACACTATTTGTTTTTTTATCACCTTAATCCCTAAACTTCAATCATTGGAGGGAACTTTGGATCTCAAACGGCAACAACGATTGAGTTACTGGAACACGATCTAACTATCCAAAGTAGGGATTAAACCAGTGGTTGAAGCATCAAAAGTAGGGAGTCGTGCAAAGATCGACGGATCATGACGGATCTGAGATGTGTCAAGCAGCTGGAGCTCAGGTCAATTTGGAAGATGACATCCCTGCCGCAAGGAGCTTCGCAGCTTCGCCAGAAATCTCCTGGTGGTTCGAACTCCAAGCAGAAAAAGCTTGGAAATGCAAACGGAAGCGAAAACAAGATCAACATAGATATACCCATAGGATCCATGTATGCTATATATGGTAACATTTACCATCAATATATCCCCAATGTTAGCATATATACCAGCACCATGGATCCTATGGGATATAATGGATGATTTTGGTTGATAGAGATCCAAAACGAGATCCAAAATATAGATCAACAATTTGATCAACGTAGATCAACCGACATGCTATGACCATCGACCCAGCGGGATGTTGCCAGGATCCATCCCGTGTGTCGCATGGACTCCTTGCAGATGATCCCTGCCATTTGCAGCTTGGCTGCAGGGAAGGTCTCACAAAGTGGGGCACAGGATGATGTGACCACTTGAAGCATGGCATATTTGATCATATTTGTATATATTTCTTGGATGGTGTGGGTATTCTTGTTATTTGTGAGCCTCCCAGTAAAATTGAATTGTATGGAGTTGTATCCTGTGGTTTTTGGTTAGTCTCCCACTGGAATTCGGTTCTCAGAGGTTCCCAGACCTCGTCCGAAAAACGAAAACCACACGAGGCACCTACAACTTTGCTGACACGGACTTTGCAACTCGGCCCATCCGACCTACTCACATCATCTCACATCAAAAGGTGGTTCAAGTTATATAGTTAGAATCTGATTTTTTTGAACATTTTACCGTTACCTTTGGTTCATATCATAATCTCGATCTGAATCATGACTATAAGACATTGTAAGTATACTAATTAATACTAATTATATGAACATATTTTTGGCATTTTGGCTTGGAAACTTTGAAACGACCATGCAAACTGTATATCCTTTGCAGTCCTCCCTTGGATTTCTATGCTTGATTCACCTTCCTATCTGTGCAAAAGAAATCTATCGAAGCGGCTTAAAATCCCTATAGGATTTTGATGTTGTTTTGATATATGTTTCTCCCCATATAAATATAAAATCGTATAGTATAACTTGGATTGAACACCACCAGATGTCCCGCGAAAAAAATGAAAGAGAACCAATACTAAACCAATCTAAACCAAGGTTTATGGAAGGATATTCAATTCTAGGGGAAATGGGTTGTTCATGAAATGAACCACATTTCACCACTCTAAACCATCAGAATCCCATTAAAATCCCATTGAAACACCATTAAAGCCCGTTAAAACCGCATTTTTGTCGGGTTGAAGCAGCGCTTTTTCGGTAAGGCCCTGGTCACCGCGGGTCCTCGACGAGTTTGGAGCATCACCTTGGACGCAGATCAGCAGTGCCAATCGTTGATGAGTGAAGGCCGGTCTCTTCAGCTGTCAGCCAGGCTTTGATTCCGATGTTAAAAATGGAAGTGCGGAATATGAATTCTACCATCTGGTTATTTAACATATCCATGGAAAATCACTATTTCTAACAGGTAAACCATCTATAAATGGGCCATTTTCCATGGTGAACTGTTAAATAACCAGATGGTAATACGAACTAATTCAATAATTCACATAGGTCATTTAACCCATGTGATTCCATTCTAAGGTTGGAAGATGCATTATTTCTGTGAAATGAGTCCAACATGGGCGATTCTTTGCAGGTACTGAGCCTCCCATGCCAGACGCTCCAGGTGGGAACTGGGAACTGTGGGGCTTTGGGCCATCTCTTGGTGTTTCCTACCACTTGTTTGAAGGAAAACCCAAGGTCCATCATCAAAAACTGTGCTGATTCCTGATGAAAAAGCGTATTGAAATGCAATGCTTTTGGGATCGCCCAATTTTGGGAATCGTCCACATATGTTCATGATATTTGCGCAATGAAATGACTGATAAGGATTTCAATTTTGGGGAAATGGTGCGTGTTTGTATTGTAGATGAAGACAAACTGGTTGAAGTTGGATGTTTTCTTGTTGAACATGTTTGAGCCATGCAAGTGCTTGGAAATGTTCCAATGGTTGTACAATTTCCATTGTTGTTTTTAATATCCATGTAGTGTGTTGGTCTAGGCTAGAAGCCGGCTCCACATACTTTAAATGTTTAGCTCCAAGATATTTGGAGAGATGCGACGCACCGTTGAGCATTTTGAGATATCCTCGTCGCCAACGCGGATGTTTGGAAAACCCGAAGTAGGGTCCATTTCCAGGTTAGCTTATCAGAGGAATTGTAGGGATTTCCCAAATTAGTGTGACATCGGTTGAGATGTATTCAGTTTACGGGGGTTACCCTCTGGTAAATTAACATAGACCCTGAAAATCACCAACTTTTAGTTGAAACTAATCTGCCAACCCCTATTTGCCAGGGTCTATGTTAATTTACTGGAGGGTATCTCATGTTTGGAAGATTTTGGAAGCAACTGTGGCAAATTCGGGGAAATGATGCATGGCCTTCTTTTGCTTGACATGAGCCATGGCAACCTCCCCATCCAAAGCCCGGCAAGCCTGGTATCTTTTTTGGCTCATCCACATGTCAGATGTGTTTCTGTGAAAACAAGCGGGTGCCCTCAATTTCATGGTTACCCTCTAGATAAATTAACGTAGACCCTGAAAATAGCCTAGTTTTAATGGACACTAATCTTCCAACCCCTATCTGCCAGGGTCTATGTTAATTTACCAGAGAGTAACACCAAAAGCAAATATCATAAACATCCCGGCGGGTGTGAAACCGCGCGTGTAGTTGCGCACATTCCCATGAAAAAGTGACACCCCTCTCAGTGTTTTTGCCTTTGGAATGCTTAAAATTGGGGGTGCGAATTTTGATAATTTTTTTGGGGTTTTTGCACGGCACCACAGCGCCAGCTCAATTCTCGTCGCCGTTTTTGCTCTTCGCGGTCAAAGCTCTCAAGCAGACTTTTGAAGGAAGACTTGCGCTGTATGAAAGAGTTGCAAGCGTAGCAACAAGAGCGTCTTAGATGTTGTATGAAAGAATTGCAAGCGTAGCAACAAGAGCGTCTCAGATGTTGTATGAAAGAATTGCAAGCGTAGCAACAAGAGCGTCTTAGATGTTGTATGAAAGAATTGCAAGCGTAGCAACAAGAGCGTCTCAGATGTTGTATGAAAGAATTGCAAGCGTAGCAACAAGAGCGTCTTAGATGTTGTATGAAAGAGTTTGCAAGCAAAGCAACAAGAGCGTCTTAGATGTTGTATGAAAGAATTGCAAGCGTAGCAACAAGAGCGTCTTAGATGTTGTATGAAAGAATTGCAAGCGTAGCAACAAGAGCGTCTTAGATGTTGTATGAAAGAGTTGCAAGCGTAGCAACAAGAGCGTCTTAGATGTTGTATGAAAGAATTGCAAGCGTAGCAACAAGAGCGTCTTAGAAGTTGTGTGAAAGAATTGCAAGCGTAGCAACAAGATCGTCTTAGATGTTGTTTGAAAGAGTTGCAAGCGTAGCAACAAGAGCGTCTTAGATGTTGTATGAAAGAGTTGCAAGCGTAGCAAAACATCAAGAAGGTGTCCACATTGACGTTATTACGCCCCCCCCCCACCCCACCCCCCCAACCCCCCCACCCGACACCCCTGATACACAACCGCACAAGATTATTCCAAACGCAAACCTCAGAAGTGTCCACATTGACGTTTATTACCCACCCCCCCCACCCGAAACCCCAGATCACAACCGCACAAGATTATTCGAAACGCAAACCTCAAGAAGGTGTCACATTGACGTTATTACCCCCCCCCCCCCCCCCCCCCAACCCCCCCACCCGAAACCCCAGAGAGAGATACCACATTTATAAAAATATGCACGACTACACGCGCGGTTTTACACCCGCTGGCATAAACATAGTGTTGTTTATAATGTATTTTATATTATTTTATATTATAATTATATATATATATATCCCAAACTATCCCTATTACATATTTAGTATGGAAGTTTAGAAGTCAATTTTCCGACTTATGGACAGATGAAGCAGGTGAGAGCAGTCAGAGAAGAGAACATGTCAGAAGAGAAGAAGTCAGAGAAGAGACAGACAGAATAGAAGAGTCAGATAGCCAGGCAGACAGACAGACAGATAGATAGATCAGATAGATAGAAGGATAAAGAAAGAGATAGAGGCAGAGATTGAGATGGAGATATAGATTGATTGAAGGAGATAGAGAGACAGGTAGATGGATAGAAAAACAGACAGGCAGACAGACAGATAGCTAGACAGATAGACACGTAGACAGACGGACAGACAGACAGACAGACAGAGACAGGCAGGCAGACAGACAGACAGACAGACAGACAAACAGATTAGATGACAGATAGACAGCTAGACAGATAGACAGATAGACAGCTAGACAGCTTGACAGCTTGACAGATAGATAAATAGATAGGGAGAGAGAGATAGAGATAAATAGATAGGGAGAGAGAGATAGAGATAGATAGATAGATAGATAGATAGATAGAGAGAGACTCAGAGCCTGAGCCACCTTTCGGTCCATCAGTGGGTTCGCTCTGCCATCCATACATCACAGCAACATAGGTTTTCTATCTTTGAAACTTCCGCCACCATTGCGCAGTCCTATTGGTATCCCATGATTTATTGCTGGTTATAAACTTGGGTGCTTGGTGGTTTGCCTTAGTCAGCAAGTGGATTACAACCCAGTGATAACGTTGGTGACTCTACTTACCCTTCTGGATTACCTGCGGTAGTGAACGAAACCACTTCCTGCTTAGGGCTACTTATCTAAGCTTGGGCATTGTTGGTTACATCAAGTTACATCGCCATACTATTTCCGTTACATGTATTTATACATATATATATATGTTAAAGGGAACGAGATGAAACACCATGTACAGCATGCAGTGTTAAAACAACATGCTGTGACCGCAAAACATTGGCTCAAGCGTATGGAGAAAAGGGATGCGTCGTGTGACTCCGCATGACATTTGTCGGCTACCAGTAGCAAGGGTACTACAGGTCTGAGATAACATCCAGGACAAGGATATATTTGTTCACAGGTTATCAGCCGTAGGGCTCACTTCTCCCGCCGGGAGAGTGGTACCTGCGTGCTGGTAGCCGGGCCTACTGAGCAATTGATTGAGGACGCAAAAGACCAATCAGCTCATCATCGCAAAGATGCAAGGCGGTAGCGGAGATTCGCACACCACGCAGTTTACCTTCAACGAGAACACTGCCATGCCGGTCGAGGAGGTCAATCAGTCTTCCCCTGGTGACACGGCAGACAGTGGTGGGATACGCCCTACCCGAACTACACAGTCCGGATGGCAAGTAACGACAAACAGACGAAGAATATCCACCCAAAGTACACCAAGATCTTCTCGAAACAGTGCTCGGAGTGATGTTGTCCGCCAAGGGCATCGACCATCTCGAGGACGAACTACTCCTAGGGACAGATCCACCAGGGCCGTGACCGACCGAGTTGGTGAGAGGACCGGGGATAGTCGTGTTAAGAGGAGATCAACGGATACTTCTGTGGCTAGTGAACCTATTGCCATGATAGAAGAACTACGGGCACAATGTCAATCCCTACGTAGTCAGTTGAATCAAATGGAAGCATACGCCGCATCTAGAGATCAACTGATTCATGACATCGAGATTAGATTCACCGAGTATCTTCAGGAACACAACCAGAATGTATTTGATGAAGTCAGCGCACTCAATCATAGATTGTCGCGTTCCGCGAATGAGGTTGCAGAATATCAAGCAGAACTAATGGTAGCATCTCAGGAAGATGAAGGTGCAACAATACGCATCCAAGACCTTGAGCGCCGAGGTGCCCTAATGGAACATGGTGCACGACGGATCCATCAACGTGGTATGGAGATCCAGGAGGAGTACAAGGATGAAGTACATCACCTTCAAGGACTATTGGGTAATACGGAGGCAAGACTGCAACAACTTCATCAAACCAATGTCTTAACCACCGATATTGCCAATCGACTATACAACGAAGGTCAAGAAATGCAAACAGATTTCCAGAACTCAATCATGGAATATCGTAATCGATCCGAAATGGCATCCTTCTCTAGCAATCAACTTGAAGTGATTAGCCAACAACAATCAATTGCAGTTCATGAACTATCTGAACGGAATCAACTATTGAGTGAAGCTTTAGTTCAGTCTCGTAAACAGGCCGAGCTGTATGAAAGCAGTATTGACGAGATCACTAGAGAATCTAGGAAGAAGGTTTTCGAGGCAAATCAGGCCAAATTGGAAATCAGGCCAAATTGGAAAGTGATCTGAAGCATCGAAACACCGAACGTGATACCGTCAGAAGAATTGCATCATACAGGAACCAAGAGGCCGAAGCGATATCACACCTGAGGCTTGAATCACAGGCCAGTGTGAACTCGATCGCGAGGGCTGAGCATTATGAAGAGCTCTACACCAATGAGCAGGAGATGAACTGCGAGTTAAAGGATGCGATCAAGTTGCAGAACACGAAGTTGCGAAGATCGTTGACTCAGGGTACTACGACCGACGGTCGTGGCCCCGATGAGATGCTTGTTGAAGATCTACGTAATCAAGCCAAAATTGCTCAAATTAGGGTTCAGGATCTAGATCATGAAGTTCATGAATGTTTACAAGAGAACTTGTTATTGAAAGAAAGATTGGCTGAAGTTGCGGATGTAGGGACGTCGTCCCTCACCAATGCTGAGGTCCGAACTCTAAGATCTGAACTAGAGAGTGAGCGAAAATTGAAATTGGCTAGTGGTGTTCAACAATATGAGAGATCATGCATGTTCATGGGGGAAATCCAGGATAGGGATGAAAAGAT